ATTATCTTACTGAACGTATGCAGACGCTTCACTAATGTTCACACTTACAGTTAACATCCACAGAGAGAACATACAAGCTTCGGGCGTTGCCTTATTATTCTGTTAACACATTACATAAAAAGACAGCATGCAGCTGTGTTTCAGGTTGTAAAGTTTAAGTGAGTTTGCTGCCAACAGGAGCGACTCAATTGATATGCATCATAAAACAAAAAATTAATTTAGTGTGTGTAGAGAGAAAATCATTTGCAGGTCTTTTGTTATTTGCTGTTGTGACATGTGGAGATCTGCAAGCATTTCCTAAAACAAGAGGCAATATCCTGTTTATTATTTACTGGAAATTTAAGTCAGGAGTGATCAAAGCTTATCTGCAAAACAGACAACTTCACTGTAGCTTAATCTGTATTTTGCATCCACATGTTTGCTCTTTTTTTCTTTAATCAATGGAGTTTTTGCACGAGTGTGCGCTGGTCAACTCTGACTCCCACTGATGGCTGGTTCCTGATAAAAAGCAGAGGTGCTTTCTTCACAGGTTATCGTAGTGATCTAGGCCAGCCCCTCGTGAAGGACTGGAATGCCTGGCACGGACAGGCCAGCACTGGCTGCAGAGTGCAGTGGGGAAATACCAAGCTGTCATATGTAAAAGAGTCAGAACCGAGCCGAGCAAGCCTTTGGTTTAGAAAATAAGGGTGGGTGTGGGGGCACTGATTCCACTGGAATTCATCATAAAATGAAGATTACTATTGTTTATACCACACTCTGTGTGTACTGTAGAAGTTAAGCTTTGTTTATTTTCAATCATTGTGCTGACTGTTGAGAAATGACAGGACTCCCAGGCTCTGCTGGGTCTCCGGATGCATTTTTTCCAACCCTTGCAGTTTTGTCTATATATGTTTATCTTAAAGAATCTTAATTTTGATGGATGTTACAAGAAACAGACTGCTGTTCACTGGATCCCTCGTTCAAGTTTCTTTTAGACACAGTGCCCTCTGCTGTTCCAAACAGCCTAATGTATTGAACCTTCTGACATTTCACTGTAAGGAAACCGGCTCACATTCTGCCTGCTCAGAGAAGCTACAGTTCAGTTTAGATAGTGTTTGGAGCTGGTAGAGACTCGGTGACCCTGACGCTATGTCAACACTGGAACATGGATATGCACCCTTAAATCAAATTTCCCTCTCCTAGAAGATCCAAACAACCCATGGTGTGCGTCTCTCATTTCAGCATTACATTTAATTCATTTAAAATATTTACCCACGTGCATGTATCTGTGAATCATGCACCGGCACCAAAAATAAATGAATAAATAAAACAAAAGATATAAATGTAATAACATAAGTATTAATCATATTTATTTTGCTGCAGACCTGAGCTCTTAAGCGTTATGTATGTCCTATTAAAAACTTCCTAAAATATTATAGCCTTGTTGTTTTTAGCCAGGTATTAAACTCTACACATACACTTAAAGCCACACAGAGCTGCTTGTTAATGCAAATCTTTAATTAGCCAATTATAATACATGACAGCAACATGATAATGAGTTCATGTTGAGTTCATCTGAGTCCAGTAGAGATGGGATGGAGATATGATGATATCATCTGAAAACAAATGGAGGTCCAACCCAGGATGAACTAAGTGTACCTAACAAGGTGGCCTGTGTATTTGGACTATTGTTGGTTAAAAGGAAAAAAAATGTGACTATAAGCCCCATAGGAAGCAATTAGTGCTTAGTATTTGGTCATCATGCATAAGTAAAAGTCCATTTCTGTCTCTACAAGCAATACGAATCTATTATAACAGGCTAATTAGCAGTAGAAGGTATATACTTGTGTTAGTTCTGCTACAATGGCAGTACATTAAAGGGCGACAACTCAATCACTTTCTGAGTGTATGGAGCAAACAGCCTGTTGTCATGGCAGAGGTTTATCTCTTCACGCTTTCCTCTCTCCTCCCTACTGACGATGGTGTTTCCCCTTCATGTTCTCCAAAGATGAAAAAGGTCAAAAGGAGGTTAACTGTTGATCCCATTGATTTCAAACTGGACATTGACTACCTCAGCCAATCAAGAGGACCGTCAAATGAGGTACAGGCTAGACAACTAAACTAACCACAACTAGCATCCCTCCAAAACAAACTAATCTGCATGTTGGAATCCATAACAAAGACCATCTGCCTCTGCTCTCTGTCTTTGCCAAACATTGTCTGTGTTGGCTAGACAGTACTGTATTAGCACTGCCATCATTCATTCTCGTAGCTGGCCACAATAACCCTTTTTGTGTACATCCAAATGTTGTGTGTGCAGACATGGACACATCTTGTCCATTTATTAACTGAACACATTTTCTAATGCAGTGAACTGTTTCAGGTGGTTCTTTCCTGCTGTAAATGTATGCTGTTTGGAATTAATGTAAAGCAGCAGTAAATTTAGGCTTTTCCTACTTGAGCCTGAAAAGCAGCAGAAGTCAAAGGGAATAACCTGCACACAACTCTCCACTCTTACCTCCAGGCGCCGGGTGATCCTGACATCATGGCCATGGATGTAGGCAGGAGGGAGTCGATGCTTGCTGAGGCAGATATGGCCACCGTGTTTCATCAGATCATGGATGAACAACATAAAGAGCTGGACCTCGAAATAACTCCACAACAAGGTAGAAATTAGATTCAAACAAACAAATAAAACAGAAATAATTGTTTTATTTGCAATTGTAACTGGAATTGTTGAATTTAGTAATTAAGTAATTATAATGTGCTAAACTGTTGTTTGTTACTTTGTAATGAATAACTAATCAAAGAAAAATACTTATAATACTTATAATACTTAGCATTGTAGTCATTTTACTGCTGGTATAATGACACCTGTGACAAAGAGGTTGCTTTGCACAGATGACCTGGTGTACTCAGATAGCCGGACAATCCCATCCCGCTCCATCTCCCGGCTCAGCTACTCCTCGTGTGGCAGCGGCAGCATCGGAGGCCCTCGATGCAGCAGCAGCGTCTACCTGCCTGGCCTTGAGGACTCAGAAGAAGAAGAGGACGAGCACTGCCAACCGTACCCGCTCTACCAGTTGCATTCAGGCCTCTGCCGCCAAACATCTCAGGACAGCCTGAGCTCAGCCAACCATCCACCACAGGTCTTTCATATGCCTCATATTAACATCACACGAAATGGTCATTACATTACACTCATTTAAGACACTCATAAATCGTCTTTCACGTCTGGTTTCTGTGAGTGGAGGAAAGTTGCTGGCTTGTTATACATTTTGCCTGCATTCCACACCAATGAACACAGCCAGACATGAAAACGTAAAGCTGTGAGATTCCGCATTATTAACGATCCGTGTGGTTTTAATGATGATCATAAAAGTTTAATGCCCGTGTTTTGTTTTTTTCTTGGATAATCTTTATTTTTGTGTTCTGTTCACTTTGTTTGTTGGTAGGGGAAATTGGAAAAATGTAGACCTGGTGAATCATTATAAGGAAAGCAGAAAAATTCAGCTGATGCAGTAAAATTCAAATCTTTGATCACTGAGACATGGTGTTGGATTGATTGAAGCGGCTCAGAATAACTTTCAGTAAATTGTTGTTATTAATTCCACTCGGGATTATGAATTGAACTGCAGTCATAATCTTTGGAATCATTGTCCTGTAGCTGTCAGATAGATGGCCTCACATCATTCAATGACAGCAAAGTGCCCGACTCCAGTGATTGCAAAACAAGCCCAATTCAGCCCTACAGAACCGCGCCGACAGTGTATATGAGATTATATGAGATGTTTGTGCTGATATACTGTGCTTGGTTTTCCCCAAACATTGTGCTCTTTATTTATGGCCAAATATCTCCACTTTGGTCTCGTCTGTCCAAACGACATCATCCAGAAGTGTTGTGGTTTGTTTAGATGCTGAAGCTGTACTGCCATGTTCAAAAGAGGCTTTCTCCTGGCGACCCTTCCAAAAAAGCCATACTTGTTCCGTCTTTTTCTAATTGTACTGTCATGAACTTTAACATTTAACATGTCACATGAGGCCTGTAGAGTCTGAGATGTAGCGCTTTGGTTTTCTGCAGTTTCTCTCAGCATTGCACAGACTGACCTTGGGATAAATTAGTTGGGACGTCCACTCCTGAAAAGACTCTTCTCAATACTTTCTAACTGTGAATAATTTTTCTCCCTGTAGAATGATGTCCCTCATATTGTCCGGAATGACCATATTTTGCAGTTTATCAGAGGTTGTATTCATCTAATTTTAAAACCTGCATTGGTCAAATGGGACAGCAAACTGTAGTGTTAACATGATAAACTTATCTTGTTTTGAATGGGTTGTATGGGTTCAAACTTGATACCAAACTCAGCATGTGATCTGATCTGGTACATAAATTAATTGCAGTGTCGCTTTAGAGGCACAGTTTAGAAAGAACACAAATAACAAGCTGATATTTTAAACCTTTCAAGCAGTGCATGCTGGAAGTCGGACACAAGTTCTTCAGTCTGACGTGCTGAGTGATGTCGTGGAGACAGCTGCTAGATCAGAGGGAGGTTACATACATTACATCAGTGTCTATTTATGTGTCAGTATTAAACACATTCCCTGGAAAGGATTGCAGCAGTAACCGTGGCCGTTCTGTTCTTGTGAAGCAGATAGAAAACAGACTTTGTTTACCATTAGTCTGAGGAGGCTGCTTTACTGACTGCTGTCACTAATCAATATGTCTGGATTTATCCTTGTGAATCACACAGTTTTCAGTTCATCTGTCTTTGACTTGATTCAAACACAGTCTGGAGTTTATATGGAGGTATAACTCGAGCCATAAAAAGATTCTTTGCAGTTGTTAAAGATAAGGAATATAAAAACAAAGAAACTAATTAAACTCTGTGATGGTGAGTAGCCATGAAAACAGAAGGAATTATCCAGCCTACCTGTCTCCCTGCGCTGATTTATACCTTCGATAAGTTGTGTCATGGTAAATTTGTCTCCCAGCTGGGCAGCACACTGAAGAGACATGCAAACAGGATACAGTGGAAAACATACAGCCCAGACATGTCTTTGTCAGATATCGAAACCAGACGTGACATTTCTCATCTGACGACAGTCACTCATCTTGCGTACAGGTGCTGCTGTCTGTTGTCTTGGTATTGATTTGGAGGCCAACAATAGAACCGAGTGACGTCAGCAATTTGATTATTTGTGGAACATCAAGATAAGTCAGAAAGCACAGACTGTATAAGCCCAGGGCACATGTGTAGGGCACATGTGAGGTAAAAACTTTGTGCAAAATTACGGTATGTTTAATATACAGAAGAGGGAAAAATTAAAGGAATAGCCTGAATGAAAGAGCAGAGAAGCATAACACATGTGGACGCTTCCAAACAAGGCACAAAAGCTCGCTGATGAAAATCATATGAATCATCCTCTGTGACCTCCAGTCACCAGATCTGAACCCAGCTGTATGAGATTATGGATAGCAACACCACGTCAATCAAGCCAACCAAACAGTTTTATGGTAAACCTAGTCATTTCACAGTCCCTGAAAACTTGGTCTCGGATTTCTTTATAAATTCAACAAATAATCAAACAACAGTCAAAAATATGCAACATATATTATGGGATCTGACTCAAAGTCTTGAATATAAGTCTTGAATATGTGCAGTTATTATGTGCTGGTTAACTTTGAAATAAAAGTTACGTTATATAATTCTTCTAGACAACAAAATAAGTGAATTTTGTTCAGTGGCAAGACAGGCTTCCTAAAGGACTTTGCTAACATTTTGATATCAATGTTTCTACATCAGTGTAGCCAAAGAGACAACAGGCAACAAGTTATAGTCCACCTAGAGGAGGTGTACACGTGTCATTGCATAATTAGTTTTGCAAGAATTCCAAAGATGGGAGTGCCACAGGTGGTGTCCTGTTAGCAAACTCCCAACATCCTGCAAGAAATAAAAACACAGAGATAAATCTAAAACCTAGTGTAAATACATACCTGCTCAGTGAAAACAAAGCAGTTAATGGAACTGAGCGTTCACATAATCTTATCCATTATCAATATATGGGAGTGTCTGAACTTTGCATTCAAATATTTGCACAGCTGCAATAATTACAATTGGACTTCCCTCTTGCACGGTCTGCAGGCATCCTGTCAGCTTCTAAATGACAGTCACCCTATCTTTATATGTTTACATGGTTTTAAATGAGTACATTTATAGATTTAATAAAGATATTAAACACAACTGGTCAACAGTGCTCACTACTGCGTCACAGGCTTATTCAGGCTTATTCTGTATAAAAATGTCCAGAACTAAAAAGAGGAGCCAGTACAGCTCTGCCAAAGGACTCCTCCTTTTCTCCATTGATCTGTTGACTTTCTCAGTCATTAGTTTCAAGATTTTTTTTTTTACAGAATATAATGTCTATATGGATTTGCTTTACAACATCACATATTATAAAACTGTAGCTTTATCAGGTTTCTCGTTTAGAGCCACACCTCGCTCATCACATACGGTTTCAATAAAAGAACAAACAACATGGCAAAATGTAACACTTAGAGTGGCTACTTGCGTCTTTTATTTACAGTCAGTGGTGACAGAGTAATGACAACTCATGCGTATGCACTGATGAAAAGAATGAACAATTATAGAGAAAAAAAACCTTGATTTTCAAGTCTTTCTTAAAAAATTTTTACTGTCTTTCTCTTTCTGCCTTTAACATCAATCCCCCCTGACCATCTGAGATCCATAATGCACCACAGCAGTTAAATCATTATGTTTTGATTGTTTGTTAAGTTTAATATTAGTGTCAAGAGTTTGGGGGTTTTTTAGGAGGTTGAATTTGGATGAACTGTGAGAGGAATTTTTTCTTGTGGCAAGACATCAAAGGTGCATCAGATGACTCTCTGCTTGACTTCCTGATCTAAATATGTACCAAGGAGCGATCCCGAGTAGGGAAAATATTATTCCATTTTGGCCAATTATCCAAAGGAACATTTAGTCTTCAGTTTTGTACATGAAGAACATTTTGTGCAGAGTAATGTGAATTTGGTTAAGTACTTTTAGTTTAAATATATTTTTCTGGTTTCTTTCATCCAAGTAAATTGGATGATCTTCGGTTGATGACATATGGTGAAATCAGATTTGGGGACGAGTTGATTTCCCTGACAGCTCACTATGATGAGAACATGTGAAACTGTAACTTAACCATCTGCATATTTGGTGCCAGTATGTTTTGATTGGTTCAGTAGGAGTAAGAGTGGTTTAAGACATGCATTTGCTTTCATAGCATAGATGTGAGCAGTACCATTTAAACCATTAAGTGTCCAGTACTTCATGTTTTGAAAACTATACATTTTTTGTAATGTTCCTTACGTTTTGTGTTATTTTGGGGTTTGTTTGTTTTATAAATTAATATTTCTTAATTCTGCCTCTATATGTACTTTCATTTATTTCTTCCTTTCTTTCTTAGATCACTGACATTAATAGACGGATGTCAGCAATTGAGACTCTTCTGAACCGCTTGGAGCAGAAAGTCACCTCAACATATGACCAGGTAAATCTATCAGATGTCAAGAGTACAGCTGCCAAAATTTCATGATCAGCATCTCAACAGCAGCCTAGAAAGAAATGAGTGAAGCTAAAAAGACTGAAACAACCTGTTTACATGTATAAAGCCATGGTTAGAGACACTGTGCAGTATTTTAGCATAACAATGTACAGACTAGCGGATTTTCAAATCACTTAAAGCCTAAATTTACATGAAAATAGTTAAGACAAATTACATCTATTTTATTTTATTTTTATAAATAATTTTCTATTTTGAATCTGATGCCATGCCAGTACCAGCTAAAAGTGCACACAAACTTCACTTTTATTATGTCACAATTTGTCAGGGTCATGGTTATACTTGTTATACCGCCCTCAAGTGGCCAAAACAATCAGTGCAACTTTAAGACAAACACACTTGATGTACCTGCATGAAAACGTGATTTTATGAAGGTATTTTCTTTCAAATAAAGAAAACTAACTCATTGTTCATGCATTGTGCTAAAGAAAGGAGACACACACTTACTCATATTTCATCATCCTCTAATCAAATGTGTGATCTCAGCTGGTTCAGTGTCTGTCTTTAATTGGGCCGTGAGCTCTCAAACCCACACCAGTATCATCACAGACTGAGCCAAGCCGCAAAAACAGCAAACCAGAAACGAATGTAGAATTTAGACTCGGTCGCTAATTAGTGGCTATTTAACTTCAAGTGAGAGCAGCAGTTGATTGACTCATGCTTTTCCTCTCTCTCTTGTGGCAAAGCACAGCTTAAATCAATTTGCATATAGCTTATGTTCTGACTGTTCTGTCTGCACGCGATAAGTCTGCATTAATGTCCATGTGATCAGTGAAGGAAAAACAGAGTTCTTGTGCTTTCAGACATCCATGTTCCAGTTCTTGTTTAGGGTCATTACCGAGTGGTCATAACACAGCTGGACAAATGAATGTGTCTATTGTAATCGGTACATTAAGCTCTGCCCACTTTCTGTTGTATCTGTCTATTCTATTCGAATACTCCACATAAATAAGAACTACAGGTACAACAGATGCACAATCTTCCAGTTGAAAATCGTTGAATGATACATGAGAAATTCAAATGATAACCCTATATGCGTGTTCTGAACGTGCTAGGTTAGAGGTTAGGACTTACAGACCCTAGTTTAAGTCTAGCTAAGGATCCTTGTTACATCTTCACAGTAGTTAGAAATGACACTTGTCTTTCATGCGAACTGAAAACAAGTTGTTATGGATCTATGAATCTCCTAAAGCAAGAACATCAGTTGAGACGATAGCAATTTATCTTAGCGACTTTCTAGTTTGTAGTGAGATTAAGATGGATTTGTTTCTGTGAGGGGTCAAGCTGGCCATCTCTCACTGCAGCACAGAGACTCTGCTCTCAGTGATAGTACTGGAGAAAAGTTTGGTTACACTTTACTAGGCCTAAATGCTGACAGTGCTCATTGCCACACATGCAACAAGGTTTTTGCACATGTGGAAAAAATTTCGAGCATCCTGTGGCACTCCCTGTCACTGTTGTGGGTATATCTGTATGAAGCAGTGAAGCAAAGTGATGTAAAACTATGTCTAAATGAAGTGATGAAGCCATCAAAGGGGTCTGCGTTTAACCTTTTCATGAGCAAAAAAATGCTAGTGTGCTATTATACATTAGGCACCAATCAGATCAGATTAAAGCAGTGCTCTCGTGTTTGCAATGTGAAGCATTTGTCAAAATAATATTTGTAAGTGAATAATAGATAGAAGATGGTTGATTGGAAGTCAGGGGAAATCCTGCAAAGTTTCCCTCAAATCCAACGAGTATGTTAGGTTATAATTACATGGACTGTATCCGAGGCCACCAAAGTACACTGCAGTCTGTTTGTTTTTGGCCTGGAAAAGAAAACTGGAGTATGAAAACAGAAAAACATAATCAGTGATGGAGCATTTGTGTATTATACATCATGCATACACTCTAGCAGTACATTTTAAATCAGTATAACAATTCCCATTCAGTTGACGATCCAGTCGTTCAAGATCCAAAGTAAAAACGTTAACCGTATGCTGTGTAGATTTGTCTCAGTCACATTGTCTGTGCTTTGTTCCCAAACAGACTTCTCCCACTCCCAGCAGCACCTCTCCTCTTCCTCAGTGGAACGAAGTGGACCTGGAAGAGCAGCAGCTAAGACAGAGGCTGCACGAGATGACAGACAACATCAGTGACCATAGCCTGACCTCTGATGATGAGGACGAGCCCGAGAGACCACATTCCTCCCAAGAAATCCTAGCATGGAGGAGCCCACAGGCGGATCCAAGGCCTTCCAAACTACCTATCAGACCAACATCCAGAGCCAGCATCGTGGTCTCCAGGCTCGAGGAGGAGCAGCCTCAGCAGACAGAATCTCTGAAGGTACAAATTCTGTGGCATTTTTATAAGAAATCTGTTTTTTTTTACGTACACGCAAGCATTCATTACCAGTTTGTTTACCGACAGAAAGATACATAAGCCGTGAGCATCTGGCTTGCTGCACTTACTAAAAACAGCATGGCTCATGAAATTCCAGCCGACCTCTGCTGGAAATCGGTTCAAGCACACACTGGAATCATAAATCAAGTCACTCAGGCCTTAGGTTTATTTTTCGTCTGCAACCATCACTCCCAGATTGTCGGAAAAAGAAGACGAATTAAATTAATAACTTCTGCTTAGCTGCCGTGCTAAGTTTCCTCAACTGTTTTCACCGGCAGTTCCTTGCATTTAAGCTGCAGTGCACTGATGAGTCATGATGTTTTCACATCACTTCACTACAAGTTTGTTCAGCCAGCATTACCTCAATTAATTTAATGTATTTAAAGTATCAGGTAACACTGGCTTTTAGTATCAGGAAAATGGACGGGGGACCAAACTTATTGAGCCGGTGGTCACGAAGAACTGCAGATTTTGGTACATTTGATTTGGCATAACTGTAAGCAGGTACCAATCAAGTGGCACCATTTAGCTATCACATAATTTGTTAACATGACATCATTTCAACTTTCATTAAGTTTTTTTGTTGTTGTTTTTTTTTACCTGAAAATGAACATTTTTGCTTTCTGACTGGACTTGTCTTCCAGGCTAATGACTCCTCTGAAAGCCTGGAGAGGAAGGGTCACCCCCTAGAGGAGGGATCAAAGGCAAGCTTCAAAGGATCAACTGCATTACTGGTTGAACTGGAAGACAAAGTAGCTCAAGCAGCAGCTAATGTCCAGAATGCCCAGAGTGAGGTGAGGGTTACATTAAAGGCTAAGTAAAGTTTGATTTGTATTGAAAATGCAAAGAGATGTAAAGTTGTGGCACATCCTGCCATTTCTTTCTTTTTACTCCAAGGTGTCTGACATCGAGAGCAGGATTGCTGCCCTGAACGCTGCCGGCATGTCCTCGGATAAAAAAAGAAAGGTAACACCGTTTATAGCGCTGAGTTTCATATCCAGAACTGTTATGACAGAAAACATTTGCTTATACAAAACCCTTTTATGTTTGTGTGAAATCAAACAAGTGGACACAGGAGTTATTCTTAGAGCCAACGTGTTTTCTCTGATTATGTGGCACGATGGTCTTTGATTTGCCTCTCAAAATAACCACAGATGTGATTTCTATGAGTAGGTCTGCCTTTGATGAACATTTGTAAAGCATCGAGGTGCCAGAATGCTAATAGAATAAAAGTTTTCCCACATCCTGAATTTATGTTTTTTTCTCCTTGCCTTCTGCTTTGTTGTCTTGCAGTCCGCAATCCCGATCCAAGCCAGAAGACTTTCCTACAACTTTCCCACAAGTAAGAACTGACACTGAGATCAATCCCCAGGGCATCACAGCTAACTCAGAACATCTTAACCTTTTGAAACTTAGAACACATGATGAGCTGCTTTATAACTCAGTGAACACTGTGTCCTCATTATACTATGGCTTTAATTTTCCCAGCTGGATAGCACTTCATCTGATTCATTGAGTGGAAACAGTACTGTGTTTTTTTGTTGTTTTTATAAAGAATAGAGAATATATCTAACTTTTTAGCATATTATGTTATTTTTTTTTATCTTTCTTTGCTGCTGAAAAGTTCTTTTTAGGCCAAATTCAAGTCAAGTGCTTTTGTAACCTGCTCTTGGACTTGGTGCCAGTTGTTATTTAAAGTTCATAGAGTGTTTCTAATTTACTTTCCCATCAACGTTTTCCAATAAGCTTATTTTCACCATCCCACATCTGGGATTTTGAAACATCACATTTGTTTCTAACTGTTAGATTCTGGACTGAATCCCAAAAAGAGCCATAATTTGACTTTTAACTGTGATTTAATAAAATAGAGCCTGCAGAATACAATGTACAATGCAGCTGATGTATGTTTCCAGACCAGGTGGACAGGTTTACCAGGAACTCCCTCTACAGGGGCTCACTGACACAGAGGAACCCAGTGGCAAAGGCCAAGACCAGGGCTGCCTGTGCGGTATGACCCCACCCTACGGTGCTGGGTGCTGTGAAGAGTTCAATTCCAAAACTACATAAGTGCCATTTGGAGAAAAAAAAAGTGCTGCAACAAAACTGGCATCCGATGCTTACCGATTTTTTTTTATGTGGGAAGATTGATTCCACTGTCATAGTTAATTTTACATTAAGTTGGGAGATCTACAGCCGTGAAGCTAAATTTGAATTTGTACTTCTGTGCTTGTCGGGTTCTGAAAAGACCAACAACATCCTCAAAAAATGCTGTCCACCGACACGCTGAGGATTAGTGTTTGGTTTGGGATGTTTATTTTTTAACTTTATCTTGTGGTTGTTACAACTTCCTGGATAGGTTTAGGAGAAGCAACATATTTAGGTTCAGGTAAAGGTCCGAAATGTGAAAATCAATGTGGAAACATGCAGCTGATTTATCTGAAGGCCACCAGATGGCGATTGGAGTGGTTGCAACAAAACACTCCACTACTAGACGTCTATAGGAAAACAGCTTTCTCTCTCTGGAAATAGTTTACTGCTGAGTTTATGGGCTCAGTCACTAATTTTGGGTCATATTGAATAAAAAAATTAAGTCTGCTTGTATATATAGGTAATACAAGGTTTCAAAATTGAAAATTATGTGTGGTATCAAAGTTACAAAGTTATGAATCACAAGTGATTAGCCAATGAGCAGTCACAGTCAGGCCTGCCCTTCCTCGTCGCATCCTATTTTTTTTGCAAAACATGCACATTTTGAGGCTTCAGAAAAGGTTGACACTGTAATCACACTGATCTTTTATACTAAGATACGTTTTTATACAGTAATCGATCCAGGCTGGGGTTTAATACCACCTTAAAAAAGTCAAATCCCTGCTTGTGCAGTCTCCCTTAATTACTCAGTCAGATCCAGCCCTCACTTTCAGAAAGCTTAATTCAAGGTTTTTGTAACTTGTCAGTCAAAAAAAAGCTGCTTTGTAAACCTGCGCACTGCATTTTGTGCATTTTGTCCCATGTCATGAATGAATATGTATAAATAAAAAAACAAAATAAAGTGAAACGAGACTCCATCTGAAGGTGAGGATGCTAGAGATGCTCCTGAGCTGCTCCAGTGGATTTGTGCGAAGTTTAAGGATCCATGAAAGTGGATATCAATCTTCTCAGCTAACCTCCATCACAAAACGTGGATTCATGCATTTTCCCAAATGTGAATACAAATTCCTTTAGTAAAATGCTTTGAATATCAGGAATGAACTCTTCACGTGCTGATCACACCAGGCTTTCACTGCTTGTTTGATTTGAGCTGCTGGTGGTTTCTAGCTTTGTGGTGTTTTGAAATAATTGCATTTTTTAACGCATTTGCTGCTTTTTTCCCCAATCAAGTGCACACGTTCACATTTCCTGAATCATGTTTTTGTTGGTAAAGGAAAGAGTTAAATCTCACACTGGGTTAAAATGACTTTGTCTGAAATTAAGTGCATATGCTGGGATGTTTGATTACATAATATAATGGTGGAAAATCTCAGGGTCATTTTGATAAGAAAGAAAAATAATGGCATCAGTGATTATGTGGCTGTTTTAAATAATATAATTGGCTTCCTGCTTGAAGAAATATGCATGTCTGCATTACACTTTGTCTCTGAGTTGAAAGTACCTAAAGTCAATGATAAGAATTTTAAAAAGAGCCAGAAACAATATTTTCTGAGGCCTCCCTTGTTAAGAGAAAAAATGTGAACCTTAAATCACAGGGTTTTTTTGTTTTTTTTACTATTATCACTGTAGGAGCCTCATCCAGTAAAATATATCTCATTTTCAACACAGTCCAGTGTTCAGCAGTACTCAACCTAGTCATAGCCAGAGCAACCCCAATATGAACACACTGTAATTTGATCAGTGCTCAGCTTTTGCTCTACACACTGTTATACTTTGCAGAAGCATTATAAAGCACGTAAAAACGTGCTTATTTTCTCTTAAAAGTGGACCTATTCTGCCTTTCCTTATTTTCTGTAATTAACATCATATACATCCAGGTGTTTGACTTCATATTAAACATGCCCCAAGTTTGTGGTCCACATGTGTATAAATAATCCCTGTAACACAAAAGCTCAAGCTTCAGACACCTCTAAACACTGTTTCTAACAGTTTTTTTTTCTACTTTTGGCTCTGTATGATGTCATGGAGAAAAAATGTCCCTAATTTGGTCATCTCAGACACAGAAGCCCCACCCACCTGCTTTTCAGATCTTTACCAGAAAGCTGTCTTATGCTACAGCGACAGTGGGGCCACTTTGCTTTTATATATGAATATACAACCAGCTGTCAACCAGTTGGGTTGAATCCCCATTGCAACCAGATGCATTGCTGAAAAATCAAAGTGACTGAAGCTAATTACAATTGTTTACCAAATGCATACAAATACAGTTCAATCAAAGCCCAACCACTGATTTCACCTATTGACAGGAGGTTTCCGCCATCTTTTAACTTCAGTGTGGCTGAGGCATTAGCAGGAGGGTGGTCTTAAAAGGACAACAGCTGAAGTAATTTGTTTCAGACAGACAGTGAACTGGCGGGACCGAGGCTCATTAGATAAATAAAATAAACAAGATGAACAAAAAATATTTTAAACTGTGATCCACACAAAGCTACCCAAGTAGAATCTAAGAATAAAACTATGCAGTTGGAAGTGAGCATCATAGGTCCACTATACTACGCTGTACATCTGTTGTCAATTTCGTGTTCCTTTCTTCAAGCCTGAGTGATCATTCACAAACCTCACAGCTTGCATAATGGCTCATAAGTCATCAGCAGGTTTATAAATATTTCTAACATGTATTAAACACATATTGATCTTTTGTCTCGGTTGCTTTGAAACAGTGATTTCATTAACCCAATCAAAGCATTAAATGGCTGATTAACCATAATACTAGTCAATCAATATTTTTGTCTCTCTTTTCTTGTAGAAACCAGTAATGACCCAGGGCTCATGAGGAGGAGGCTGAGTGTTATCTGACTGACAAGTCTTTCAGTTATTACATAATGCTTTACACACTGGAACTGAGCAGCAAAACATGAACTATTCACAAAAGGAGTGTTTTTGTTCTTTGAAACAAATGCATTTGAACCAACACGTGGCAACCAACAAACGGTTGCCACGTGTTATGTTTTCCTGAGTTATCAGGAAAAGTACTACAGAACTGTGGCTGGCAGTCAGTTATCAGTTTTCAGTTTTCTTTTCCTGACCATAGTGCAGTAGTTTGTTGCCTAGACATAACAATGTAGTTTTGGAAATTTAATCCAATCCAAATTAAATCCATTTAAAGCTGGAGAAACATGACTTTGTGTACATATGAATAAGAATCTTAAATATGAGATCAGACTGATGAAAAATCTTGTTCATGAAATTCATGTGCAGTTACACGGAAGTATATAAAATTTGCTGAATTTCATGAACTTAGAAATTGCCGTACAACCATGTTGGTTTAGGTTTCCCATATAAATTGCCGAATTTGTCAACTGAGCAATCCAATCTTCTTACATTTATCTTTAAAAGGTGTGTTTTTGATATTGCTGTTGTTTTACAGGGCTAAATCCATAAAGTATATTACACGTGACATGCACTAACATAAGTATAAACATTTACAGAATTTGTATACACTAACATGCAAGTTAACACATGCATTTGCCTTAATGTGCAAAAGCACTGATTGTACTAATATGGAATTTATAACTGGTTAATTCATCGTTGTGAATAAACCGAAATATGCATTGCATGCTTTAAATGCAGTTTCAGCAAACAGAATCAAGCCAGTGAAAAAGAGGTGCAATTCTAAACTGTAAATCAGTTTGAATTACTCTGAAATTTTCACACACAAAAAAACATATAGATAAATGTATATTTTTTATAGTTTTTTTAAAAGTTATATTATTAATAATCTACGGTGTGTTAGAAAGTTTAATTGATTGTAAAATTAAACTGATGTCACAGTGAGAAGAGCAGGTCTGATGTGATTGTTTTATAATATATGACATTCATGTAAGTTAATGAATAAAATGTATACGGAATATATAGAAGTACACACTGTATGCATTATGGTGTTGGAAAATATTTTTATATTGGATTAATAAATCATGCACATTCATTTTTAACTA